TTATTTTTATTTATTTATTTATTTCCATAATTTTATTGAGAAACAAATAGCAATGAGACAGTTTCAAATCAAATTGGTAGGACAGTTTCAATAAATTTTTGTTTTATTTTCTTTAATTTTAGGACAGGATTTACAGGGCCTACAGGGTCTCACTACGTACATTGGACTCGTAGTGATTCTCTTGTTTTCAGCCTCCCAAGTGCTGGGATTAGGGGCCCGTGCCACCACGCCCAGGCACAGTTGCACACCCGGGGGTGGGGATGACATGGCATGCCGGGGAACTGCATGCCGGGGATCAAACCCAGCCGCTTTATTTATTTATTTATTTATTTATTTATTTAGGTGGAACCAGGGATTGAACTCAGACCCCTGAGCTTGCCAGGGAAGCGTTTATTCTACTGAGCCGTCTCCCCAGCCCCTGCTGTTTTTAAATATGTTAAAATATGTGCATTTCTTATAAGTCATGGGCAGTAATTTCATTTTAAATATCTATATTTTATTTTACTTTGCTTTTCTAGGCTGGACTGAATTCACCACATATCCCAGGCTAGTCATGGATTTATGGTGATCCTTCTGTTTTAGGCTCTTGAGTGCTGGGATTTCAGGCAAGCACCACCACACCAAGCTAAATATGTATATTTTAGTTTAAATCTGCAGGCATAATGTCTCATGTAACATGCATTCCATAATACCTTTTAATGATCACTGATCTTATCACAGTAAACACATTTTCCTCTACAAATCCAAACACCTTAGCAATTTTCAAACAGTATGAGCATTTGATTAAAATGCTTTGTACTAGGCTGTTTGTGTCATGGGTCAGAGAGAATCTGTCAAGCTCCCCCACTGTGCAGAGCAGGAGGACCCTAGGGAAGCAAGTAGATGGGTGTATTAGAGCAGTGTGCTAGAGACCCATGAGGCTCACAAGGCTCAGGACTCAGGGGTTCATGGGAGAGGAAAGTGTTTTCTCCTTGTCCACTTCTCAAGCGATGCCCAAGGCAAGTTGCTAACATAGATGGGAATCTCCTCAGGTATGTCTCCAGAGGGAAGAAACTGAGAACACAGCCAGTAGATAGCACTTTAATTGGATATTAAAAAACATGACAGAAGATAAGGATTTGGAATCACACTTGTGAGGCTGAGGCAGGAGGATCACCATGATTTTGAGGCCAGACTAAATTACAGAGCAAAACCTTGTCTCAAAAAAAAAAAAAAAAAAAAAAAAAAAAGGTAATACACAGTATCATGAATATTTATTCTTACCATTTGATTAAGAAAATGTTTTATATTTTCATAAAACTAAAAAATAAAAGAATAACGAGCCAATTCTATTTGATAAATTATATATATATTTTTCTCATTGTGTACTGAAAATCAGAAGTATTTCTACTCCAGCTACTTGGGAAATATTTATTTTAAACTGATGCTCTTCTGAATGCTTTGATAAAAAGGATTATATTTTCTGTGTTGATCTTTTAAAAATAATGCAACATTGCCCTACCCCTAGGGTGGTAATAATGGAGTCCAGTGGTGAACGGCCAACACTAACGCTCACTACCTACCCATCTCCCCAAAGCAGCAGGGGCTGTGGAGTCTGTTATGGAGGGCAGTGGCCAGTGGTGTCTGTGAGCCTCCCCTCGCATGAGAAAAGAGGTGAGATTTCCTGTGCCTCATGGTGGGTATGAGCAGTGCCCTGAAGTGGCAGGGCTGTCAGGGACTCAGGGACGGTGTGGGGTGTGTTATGGTGTTAAGAACAAAAGGGCCAAACGGTCAAACATACTGGTGTCCTCTGCCGGCAGGACATAGGACACAACTATAAAAGAAACTTTTTTTCTTTTTCTTTTTTTTTTTTCTCTAAATGCCCTAAGGGGTGGTTTGGCTGGCTGGTGTGTTGTGGGGATCGAACTACAGCAACCTGAGGCTGACAGCTTTGTGGAAGCAGCCACTTAAACAACTGAGCTAAGGCCAAGCCCCCCGAAACTTTTTTTCTTTTCAACTTAATTTCAAATAAGACCACTATTGTGACTGCTGAAAAAAACCCAATAAATTAGCTGATTCATCAATAGAACCTTAATGATAGCTGTCTTTTTATTAGTCCACAGTCTCAGTATTTAATGTGTTAAGAACGTCTAAGTCCAGATTTTCTAAATGTTTTTATTCTATGTATTCTTGGAGTAATATTTTAATAACATTTCCTTTTCTCTTCTACGTTTCATATTCTTTGTGCCACTTAATGATAATATTCTGTCATATTGAATTTATTTCAGAATTCCTGAAAAATGATAGTTTGATATTGTAGCTTATATTGTCAAGAAAGTTCTTAGCCATCTAGAATGTGTGCGACATAATTAAGAGCAGTGAGTTAAGTTGAGTAGTGTTGGTGGAGAAAGGAACCAATTTCCAAGTGGCTCTCACTGTAGGTGTACTCCCTCAGTTTTAGTAGTCGTTTTCTAAAAGAATCGGGTCACTCTGGCCTAGTATTTCTTTGATTTTTAAAAATTACCTGAAATTTATCAATGGGAGTTGCAGAAAAAGTGAGCAGGTTAACTGTCCTCTGTGAGTTTATGCTGGGAAACTGAATTCTTGCCCCTCATTCTATATAAGTGGTGTTAAGGTGGTGCCAATTTCATTCTGTTGTCCACTTAACATTTTAAGCTTTGCTCTCTGGACTTCTTCATAAACTTCTAGATGCAAAACTTCCTTTA